AAAACACTGTATTTGAAAGAAAGGAGTGGCAGTCAGACATCAATGCAAAACTTGCAATGATCAGGTCATAAACATGGCACTTACAAAAGGTAGCTTAATACATATTTCACATAGAGGAGGTTACTTTTCTCTCCTTCCTTTACCCCCTCAAAAAAAAAAAAAGAAAAGAAAAACTTTCCTTAAATGTAAGTGTATAAAATTTCAGAAATGCTTTATACCCAAAACAAGCGCTTTAAAACAACAACCAACAGCAAAAAACCTGTGCTAACAACTCTTAAGACAACTTCCATCTCCTTCACTTACAAAACACTTTCTGCCCCTTGAAGGACAAAGATCTCTGAGTTATTTGGAAATTATTCCAGCCTGAAAACATTCATCTACTAATTGCTTAAGCACAGAGTATTAAGGTGGGACATCCAGATTAATGTCTGGAATTTCATTGTAAATTCTCTCATAACCTCTCTTCATTTGGTCTACAGTAATGGTAGAAGACTTCTAAGAGGATTTTAATAAATTCAAAATCATCTTAAAGGTACTTTCTCCAGTTGACTCTAAAACCATTATAATAGCTTCCTATACAAGTTCGTGGTGAAAATGAGGTACTTCCAGTTCCTTACGGCAATGTTCAGCTTCAAATATGTCTCCAGAGAGGAAGTACTCTTTCAGCAGTAAATCAATCTCTTTAATAAGATGATTGACAGACTGCTACCTGCCACCAGAGCCCCACACACTATCTTTACGTTTTCTGCATTTAAGTGTACTCAGGAGCATAGTAGCCTTATCCAGAGCAGTGCTAGCCTGCACACAATATACAGTCCCTTTGTAACTATCAATATGGATATTACCTAAAATTCCATCTCCAGTAGCTCTAGCAATAAACTGGCCCACCAGCTGTGGTGCTCTAGGAGTATTCAATGCTGATTCAGGTAGATCTTTCAGCAATTTATCAAGTCATTTTTCTACATCATTTATACTCACTACTATCCCACAGAGGTGAGAAAGCAGCTTTGCTGTCATTTCTTTAGGACTAGCCTTTCCCTCCAATGCTAAGGACACTGCCAACACTAGTACTCCACTTTTCATATTAACAAGATTTAAATCTCTTAGCATTTCTGCAACTTCATTACTATCTCCATGTTCAAAATATTCCTGTATGATTGCTGTTAAAGTCTTCTCAAATGCCCTTTATCCAAAGGCAAAACTAGAGTTTCATCCACACAGTTCTCCTGGTCATCATCATAGTTAAGATCTTTCACATCCACCTCCTCCACATCATAAACCTGTCCAGGTGAACCCCACACACCTTTGCCTCTTGCACCACCTTACTTTGGAGTCTCCTTCTTTCCCACATCTGGATCGCCTGTCTAGCAACCTTCCCTTTGGTTGACACAGTTACTCCATTTCTAAAGGCTTCGCTTCCATTATCACTGACTGAATTGCCTCTGCCAGAATCCCAGGATGAGTTTTTCCATAGTCACCTTTTTGACTTGGCATTAATTTGAACTTCATTAATGGAGGATGCTGAAATCCATTTATTTCATTATTTCCTCAGTCCCAGCATTTTCTTCATCACCAGAAAAGAGTCGTTTAAATTATCAGGATCTGTGGGGTTTACATTCAGTACCTGCTCATTTTCTACATCCATTGTTCCTTAATTTCACTTGCACAGATTAAACAGATACCAAATAGAAGTCTTCCTTTAGAATCCCTCCAGCCAGCACCGCTGCTCGCCCAGGTCCCTGGTCCGTCAGCCCCAATGCTGCTCCTCAGCCTCTGCCCAGTAGCTTTCTTTAAAATTGTTTATTAGATGTACTTGAAAAACATCACCATTTTCATCTTATCAACTAAATGTTCAAAGAATTTTTTCCTAAAGAAGATAGAATAGAGAGCTATTCGGCCTCATTTTCTAATAAGATATAACTTAGGTAAGTCAAGCAGATTATTAGAACAAATTCTAGAAGCTTTAGCTTAGCCTTGAGAATCTGAATATAAAGGGACAGCTTTGATATCCCTACTATGCACAGTACTGAGTGCACAGTAAGGTAAAATTTCTAAAAAAAAAAAAAATATATATATATATATACACACATATATATATGTGTGTGTGTGTGTGTATATATTTATGGGGAATAGTAGTTAAGGTTTCTGCCATTTATAATTTATAATTGCCAGCTATCGATTTTAGCACTTATGTGTTTGTATTAGCAGTTGACATGCTTTGAAAAGGATAGAAATAATTTTACTTTTTTACTAATCCAGGTTATTATCCTCATGGAAAATTTTTTACCCTTCGTACATCCCATATAAAGAATTACAGTAAATTTACTGAACAAAGGCAGCCCCCGTAGCTCACTCGGGAGAGTGCAGCGCTGGTAGTGCTGAAGCCGCAGGTTCAGATCCTATATAGGGATGGCCGGTGCGCTCACTGGCTGAGCGTGGTGCGGACCACACGGTGCCGAGAGTTGCGATCCCCTTACTGGTCAAAAAAAAAAAAAAAACAATTTACTGAACAACATCTAACTAGGTTAGGGAAATACAACAATAAATAACTTTGTCTTGCAAGAGCTCTAAGTTATGAAAAGAAATGTAATCACACAGTTAAGAGATTATATAATTAGTGCTATAATCTATAGTTATAATTTTTTTTTAGAAAATGAAGAAAGAATATATACTGCCTGAAGGAGGGACAGGCTTCACAGAGGAGGTAATGCTAAAAAATGAATTTTAAAGGCCGGGAGGAATGGTTAGTATATTGACATACAGATTAGTGGCTTATTTTTTTAAAAACAGAGGTAATAGCATGAAGAGAGGCAAAAAAAAAAAAAAAAAAAAAGCACAGCAGATGTGTTCAGAGAAATGTGGCAGCTGAGGGTAGTTGTAAGGGCTTAGACAGCTTGAAAGATATAATACAGAAGGCTTTGAACACCTGTGTGAAGTGTTAATATTTAATTTGGTGGGCAGGAGTGAGCTCTCACAGAAACAATTATTACCTAACACATAGGATTATTGTGAGAATTAAAGAACTATATTAAGGAGTTAGCCTGGTACCTCACACATAGTAAGCATTCAATAAATGTTAGCTGTTATTACATTACAGCTTTTACTTAATAGCTAAATACTGAATCAGAATTTGATAGTCTTGTGGGTCAATCATTATGTAATTTTAAATGTATCCCTTTATGTTTGCAATTTAGTAAGGAAAAAGAGGTAAAGAGAGTGGATTGGTCTCTAGATTTGGTATAAAAGCCCAGTTTTTATTTGTGGTGGACCACAGGAAATCTTTTACAAATGAGTAGCACTGTTCAATAACATACATGTAAATCTGTGTGTACTAGTAACTAAGATCATAGGCCTCTACTAACTGTACCTTTTAAAAGCTATGTGATGGCCAGCTTTTCTAAACCTTAGTTTCCTTATGTGTAAGGTAAGGATAATTATACCTTATAGGTTTGTGTGACGTAAACAAATTCAAAAGGTAAAATTAAATTATATTCTTTTGTGTTTCCGTTATCTTAGTTATACTTGTTGTGTGGTTAAAAGTCTGAAAGATGACTTTATCTTTGTCTCAGCAGCTACAATCCTCTGTGCAAGATACATCTGCTAAAACCACCCTTGTTCATCAGACTACACAGTTATATGGAATACCACCAAATCACCACCAGTTAGCATTTAACTATCAAGAATCAGAACATTTACAGACTGTGAAAAACATCTCGCCTTTACAAATTCTGCCTCCCTCAGGTAAGAAATTAACAAGTAAACAACTGTGATTGAGAAACTGACTTCTAAACCTGTATATGAAAATGCTATGGTCATCTTAAATGTTACATGTCTGGGAAATACTGAAAATAATAACTAGTAAATTCCAGGTTAGAAATAACCACTGCAGCACATTGTTAGAAATTATTTTCTTTATACCCTCAAGCTCTCATAACGTTTGAAAGAATGAAAGTTACATATACAGTTTACATCTAGATTACTTTCATATAAATTATGTACATTGGCATGTGGGCTATATTAAAAAAAAAAAAAAAAGTGTCACTGCCAGAGCACATATGGTCAAGTTCTGAATAGACTTGAAAAATGCTGCTCTATCTTCCATGACACCTATGCAGGTTAGAAAGGTAGAAGGGAATAAGGAAAAGATATTTTGAGATTCTATAGGTAAAGAAATAAAATTATATATGTCAAAAGTAGTTTACAATTAAAGAAACTTGGGCTAGGAATACTTGTCTAGTGATGGTTTCTGTTTACCAAAAATATCTCCCAAAACTGGCTAAATTTTTATATTGTTATATTCATTTGACTTTATAAATATCTTGTTTGTTCATCTTATGAGAAGTGAAGGTATTGGACTAACGGGTACAAAACTATGCTACCTACCATAAGAGAGTCATTGTGCAGTGTATGCATGTATGGAAACAACACACTGTACCCCACAAGTATGTACAAGCAAATGTTAAAATAGGCAAATAAAAAAGAGGAAAGGAAGGTATTGCCTGTCTCTGCTTGGTTCCTGGGAGGCACTTGGGGAGGGTGCATGTGTGGCACAAAGGATACTTCTCTGATACCAATGAGCCCAGCCTAGAGAGTGCCTGAACCTTGAGACACTAATGTATTCAGGCCTAGATTGCAGGCAGGTGTGAATATTCCTTGTCCGCCTCTCCTTTCCTCTAGGCTGTTCCCTGCTTTCCACTTGGCCTTCCAAGGGTAGAGGTATCTCCCAAGTAGAAGTTTCTGGGTTGTTTTACTGCAACACAGATTAGGAGGAACAGGGAGAAGTTTTGATCTTCCTTTGTTGCTTCCAATATAAAAGCTCCCTACTGGTCTGTGTTTGAGTATTCCATTTTGTCTTTAACTCAAATTGTATCTCTTCATTTTGGGGAAAGGAATGAAGATCAAGAGAGAAAATATCTAAGGCAACACTGGAGGGCATCCCAGGAAGAAAAATAAATGAACCTTCAGAGAATGAAATGGTTATATCTGTCCTTTTCTGGAAATAGATTTTCAAGATACTTGGAGAATAACTGAAGATATGGTAGTTCTACGTCATGAATTACCTTAAATTCCAAAGCTACATTTGGGTCTTTTATTTTGTATACAACAAGGAGCTCCAAACAGGAGCATATCAAAATCAGATTTTATATTAGGAAGAAATTGCTGCTTAATATTTAGAGGATGGATTAAGATGAGGATGTTCTAGTATAGTTAGGACCAAGTAAGGAAGCTGAGTGCTGTTGTCTATGAAAAAAATTATTACAACCAAAACTAATGCAGTGAGTATAGAAAGGATGTGTATATATTAGAAAGATAATTTTGTGGCACAATTGATAGGCTTTGTTAAAATGAATGACCTAGGAGAATATTAGATGGATTGAAAAATAGGAGGCAGAGCTAATTTTGTCCATGTTTGAGGCACTACGGAATATGTAATTGGAAATCTAATGCAAGAAATAGGTTTCTGGATTTAACTGGGTATAATCGGAATTATATTTTAGAAATTACCAGTATATAGAAGCTACTTAAAGCCATGAGAATAAATAAAAATACCCAGGAAAATGTGCAGAGCAGGAAGAGAAAAGGTTAAGGACAAAATTCTAGGAAGCAAAACTTCCTCAGTAAAAGTAGAACAAATTAATAAGTTAAAAAAGGGGGATCAAAGGTAGGAGAAGAAGTAAAAATGGTATGAAAGGAGCCTAGGATAAAAGGAAATCATCATCAAGAGTATCACGTACTACAGAGCATTAAAGTAGGATGAGGAATGAAGACATAGGGTTAAAACTGGCAATGCGAGAATTTTTGCTTTTGCAAAAAGCTTTTAGTAGCCATTGTCATTGGGGCAGAAGCCAGATTGTTGTAAATTGCGAAGTAATGGAATCTGGGTACAGTGAATGTAAACTAGTCTTTCAAGAAGTTTGTTTGTGAAGGGTATGTAAGATAGCCATGGCTTTGGGCTGGGCCTGTGGCTCACTCGGGAGAGTGCGGCGCTGGTAGTGCTGAAGCCGCGGGTTCAGATGCTATACAGGGATGGCCGATGCGCTCACTGGCTGAGCGTGGTGCGGACAACACCGTGCCAAGGGTTGCGATCCACTTACTGGTCAAAAGAAAAAAAAAAAGACAGCCGTGGCTTTAACAGGAAGATAGGTTTTTTTTTAGAAGAGAGAGAGTTGTTTTGTTTTTGAGTTTTTGAATCAGATTCAAACATGTTTGAAGCCTGATTAGAAAGAACCAGAGTAGGAAAAACTTACTGTTTTCACTAGAGTGTGTTTGTAGAAGAATAGTAGGGATAGCCTTGCCCTTGAAAAAGAATAAAGACCATGAAAGACAATGGTAAGAATGCAGTCAAGATTTTCTTTTATTCCTATTTTGTGAAAAATCAGGCTTTTAATGCCTAAGTCTTCAGTAAGGAGATCAGTTTACTGTACTACTTCAGATTCAGTTTATATATGCCAGTGAGTAAAGGGAAGGTTTGGATGATGCTGGAGTGGCTATTCTGCAATTAAGTTTTTCAGAACCAGAGTAGTTTGCATTTGCCAACTGTAGGTGGCGCTATGCCCAAGGGAACTGCAAATGTACATAAACTATAAAATATACATAAAAATGTGCTATTCTGGAGTTTAATCTCAGTGGAAATACATTTTTGCTTAAATATTACCTTAAATTTAAGTTATGAAAGTAATTTATTTTTATTCTGAAGTTTTCTTATTAGAAAAATAGTTTGACAAATTGACAGAGTACATAAAAGATTTAAGAAATTGAATTTTCTTTTTTTTTTTTTTTTTTTAAAAGATGACCGGTAAGGGGATCTTAACCCTTGACTTGGTGTTGTCAGCACCACGCTCAGCCAGTGAGCGAACCGGCCATCCCTATGTGGGATCCGAACCCGGGGCCTTGGTGTTATCAGCACCACACTCTACCGAGTGAGCCACGGGCCGGCCCAAGAAATTGAATTTTCAAATGTTAATAGTTTTCTTCAAAATTCCCCCACATGAAATAGAAGTCTAATTTTTTTCCTTATAACTTGAAATTTTAAGTCACAAATGATTACTAACCTTATTGTTATAACTTACCCTTTTCCCATCTTATAAAAATCTCCACTGAATTGTCTGAGTTTTTTCCATAACAGATACTTATGCTGTCATTATCAACATGAATTAATACGTGGCAAATGAAAAAGGTAAATCAAGGAATTTGCCATCTCATAGGAGAAATAAACAACTGGTATTAAAGTAAAAATAATATGCCCTAAAAGAAGCAAAAGTAAAATTTAAGGAGTTGAGGAAGGCAGAATTACCTTATTATCTCTTTGGCAGATGAATATTTTACAGAAGTATTATCGAAGCTGGACGCTGGAGAAAAAATAAGGGTTACAGATGTATGAGGGGTTTTCGGGAAGTTCATGGAAAGATTTATATTATCTTTTAATCCTATTTTTCCGTGGACTTTTTGAAGTACCCTCATATATCTAGGATTGAAGGGCATTCCAGATGGAGGAAAGAACATAAATGTGAAGGTATTTAGGCAACTAAGAATTCAATGTGATTAAAGCTTTGGTTAGTTAAACAGGAATGTGGAGAAATAAATTTGGAAAGGCAGATCAGGTTCAGATCATAAAGAACCTTGGAGAAAAACAATCAAAACCCAAAGCATATGGCCAGTTAGTTCAGTTGGTTAGAGCATGGTGCTGATAACGCCAAGGTCCAGTTCAGTCCTGTACTGGGCACCCACCAAAAAAAGAAAAAAGAACCTTGAAATCTAGATATTTTGGACTTAATGTTAATGGTATATAGTTAGTGGGAAGCCAATGAAGGTTTTCTGAGCAAAGGGTGAACTTCAAGGTAATTGATCTGCCAATGTTATGTAGGTCAGTTGAGAGAATGGGGCATAGAGACCGGAGAAGGAGACCAATGGGGCTGTTGCGGTAGTTGGAAAAAAAATGAAGTAAAGTGATGGAAAGAAAGAAAAGGAGAAAATTGAAAGAAATTACAAGGTTAGAATAAGCAGGTCTGCAAATTATGAACATATGCTAGGTTAATAAAGGTATGTAAGCTTTGGTGGTTCAGAGGATACTGGCTGACAGGTCCAGGCTGACAGACCTCGAATACAGATAAAGAACAGGTTTCTGAGGAAAGATAACTTGTGTAGTGTTTTGCAGTGTCAGAGGGTCATTCACTCAAAGTTTTTCAGAGCTGGATCCTTGACACACTTCCTAGGCTTCTATGACACTATTCTCTTGACCAACCCGTTCCCCTCTGAGTGTTCCTTACATTTATCTCTCTATCTGCCTACTTTTAGATGTTGATAATACTCTGAGTTACATCTGTCAGAGCTTCCCAATCATGTTCCAACGCACACGCTTACTGAGCTAGTGATCATTTCCTACATGTCATGACATGTAAAAGGTCGGAGAGCCAGGCTCTACACATTCTTGCTGTTTGATCTCTTTGATGTTCGTGACTTCTAGTCTTATTTTTACAACTCAACGTATCCAGGCCCCAGGCATGTTTCTACAGCCCTACTGAACATCTTGACTTAAACATCATATAGGCATTTCAAACAGCATTCAGTAAAAACTGAATTCCCCCCTTTTAATGCCCAGATTTTAATCTTCCCTCTTTAATTCTTGATAATGGTACTATCACCACTTACTTAGAATCAGAAAACTGAGAGTCATTTTAGAATTTACTTCACTTGCCATATATATTCTTTCTACTTCTTAAATAATATCTGACCCTGAGCAGAGAAAGGATATAGTTCTGTGCTTAGAGGTTTTCTCACTATTTTTCCATTCCTTGTTGAACTGAGAAAACATATGTACGTTGGGCTGTGTAGGGACATACCTTCATTCATTCCTGCACCCTTCAACAGTGTTTCATCTCACCTTCCCATGCTCACTCCTATCCCCTGATGTTCCTCATTCTCTTCTTCTAGCATCAACTTCAACTAGTGTTATTTAGTAAGAGAATCAGTCAAGGGATTGATGGGTAGTAGAAGCTTAAATGTAAATTCCTATGATATGTAAGTGGCCAGGATTTTGTGAGCTTGAGTCAGTTAACAAAGACAGCAACTCAGTTTTTATTTGTTCCCTCAAAACTTGTGCCACTAGTGAGGACCTATAGACAAGACTAGAGAGCAATGAAACAGAAATGATCAATTAAGTTTCTTACATCAGGATACTCTTAGTTGGAAATGATGGAAAACTCAGCTCAAACTGAGTTAAACAGTAAGTAATGCTGTTGGCATACATAACCACTAGTCCAAAGATAGGCCAAACTTCTAGACATGTCTTGATCAGGGCTCAAACTCTATTTCTGTGGTTACCTTCACCTATAATAATAAATGAAATATTTGTATGAAAGCTTAAGAATTAATGAGATTGCATAGTTCTTTTTACCTCAGAAAGTCAAACCTATTGCATTTCTTATCCCTATTTCCTCACTAGCTGTTATGGGTGTCTCGTGTCTTAGTTCTAACATTCTCTGTGTTTTGTTTGTTCTCAAACTGGCCAGTCAGGCAGCATCTTTCCCCAGAAACCCCACATCGTTCTGGTCTTCCTAAACGAGTTACCACTTACCAGTAGGTGGGGAGATAGAATTACCATGATTAGCTTGGCCTGAGGTCATTTTACCCACTGGTGAGCTGCCGTAGCACGGGGACAGATAGAATAGGTTTTGGGGGTGAGCCACAATGTCAGCTCTCCTTCATGCTGGCCAGAGCAAAACCAACAACAGCAAAAAGAAAAAAAGGAGGCATCTTTCAAGGGAGAAATGTTTACAGTATAACAAGTCCCCAGCTAAGAATACTCCAAAGTTAAGATGCATCAAAAAATGAGTCATTTTGTTTTCATAGTGTCTGGCCCGGAAGAAAAAAAAATCAAATTCCAAATAAGTAAGATGAAATTTTTCGATTATACTATTCTAAAAATGTGTGCATCTAGGTGATTCTGAACAACTCTCGAATGGCCTAACTGTGATGCATCCGTCTGATGACAATGACACAGTGGTGTTAGAATCTCAACGTCACGTTCCTGTGCAAAAGGTAGAAGTAATGTTATTTTTCTCACAAATCTTGAAGGGATTAAAATTGAGTATGGAAGTGGGACAAGAGTTATTTTAAGCCCTAACTTGAATGAGATTTTGGATCTCTAAGTCTAATTTTTGCCTATGTAATTTAAAAAAAAAAAAATACGTGTTAGCAACAGCCCTCCCCTACCCACTACCATCAGTACTCCTGCTTGTGTTTAATTATACATTCTGTAATGTTGGTATTTGACAGCTATCCCAATTTTAAAGCATGTAACAAAACTATCTTTTAGAATCTGTTGTGGGGATTTCCTGATGGAGTCTTATGTATACTTAATCCTCAAACCACACACTGATACCATTCTTTCAATAAATATTCTAGATTTGGGGGATACAT